CAACCAGAGGCTGAGCAGCAGTCAGTCTAACCAGCACCAGCCTCTGTCCACCCCGGTGGTCTCCATCAACACACCCAGTCTGCCTCACCAGAGTCTGGTCTACTCCACCATCAACTCCACCTACAACAATGGTAATATCACATTATTGCTCCAGTTCAGGGTTAATATCAGTTTGTTTGTCAGTAGTTTAGTGGTTAGCCTTTGGAAGCAGAGAGCAGTGAGTACTGGGTTCGATTCCCAGAGGAACCACATGCTTGGCACCTGCTGGGGGCAGTCTCTTACCAGCGTATCTGCTGCTGACACAGCGATCTCTCAAAATATGGGATCAATATAGTGCAATTCTTTTTTTTAAATATACCATTATTTCCAATGTTGCTTTTTTTTTAGTGAAATATATTACAGTCAATAATCAATTCATTATAATGCTGTTTTTCACAGATTAGATTTTTTTTTTAACCTATGTGGGGAGATAGAGACAATCCTAGCAGTCATCGGGTGAGGGTGAGGGTCTCACCCTGGACAGTACAATCCTAGCAGTCATCGGGTGAGGGTTTCACCCTGGACAGTAACCAGTCCATCTCAGGGCCACATGTTGAACCACACCCACTGACTATCACATCCAGACCTGCAGTGTTCTCTCTCTCTCTCTCTCTCTCTCTCTCTCTCTTTTCACAAAAACAAATCTGTGGGTTTGGACTGTGGGAGGAAACTAGAGCCAAAGGAAACCCAAGCACACATGATATTTCCTTTTACTGTAAGGCAAGAGCACTAACCACCGTGCCACCATGTGACCCCCAGGTTTGAGTTACAGTATGTTAGGGATCAATAGATAACACTCACACTCACTGATGGTGTGTGTAACATAAATCAAATTTTGTTGTGAAGTTTTCTCGTCCAAAGTCTTTGACAAGCTGCAGCCTCCAGAAGTCACACCAGTGGTTCTGCTCTGAGGAAGCCACAGACTGGGGTGGTTACGGAGGCTCAGTGTGGTAATGCACCCTGCTGCATCCCTTTGTGTCACACTAATTTTATCCATCTCATCCCCCTGTCCTCTCTCTGTCTCTCTCTCTCTCTCTCCCTCTCTCTCTCTCTCTCTGCTAGATTACTCCCTGAGCAGTGCAGAGCTGTCAGGCTTCAGCTCTCCTGGAGGCCCCTCTCTGAGCTCCATGGCAGCGTGGCAGCAGCACCAGCTGGGCTCACTGGGGTACTCCTCGAGCACAGATGATGTCTCTCTGTCTCTCTCTCTCTCTCTTGTCGTGACACTCTGTGTGTTACAGTAAGTAACAGCAAATGGTGAAACCATTGCACCACCCAGCATGTGAAGAGTCCTTCACAAACTTCCTCAATACAGTTAGATGTCTCTCTGTCTCCCTGTTCTATTTGTTAGACACGACAAAAAGTTTATCCATACTTTATATGTCGCACACAGAAAGTGACAAATGATGTCAGTGAAGGACTGTGTGGCAAGACTATTATATTATATTATGTATTTTGGTCTGTTGATTTTGACAGTTTTTTTTTTTGTGCTCTTTTTTTTGTGCTTTTTGTGTGAAGCATTATCTGATTAAGTTAGCGTGAGAAGATTCGAAGTGTCCGGTGTATGGTTTAGCAGCGTCTAGTCGTGAAATTGCGTAAAGATAAGAGGAAACTGTGAGCCCCTGTGAGAAGAGTTATGTATTTATGCTCAAGGTAAATTTATATTAAAGTAGAGTCTTTTGTATATAGCCAAGAGAAGTGAAGCAAATTATTTTTTAAAAAGCAGTTTCCACCATCACCAGTAGGTGGCATTGTTGCCCCTGCAGTGAAGGCCTTAGATCGGTGGTTCAGTATTTTTATATGCTGCGGTTTTAACCATACGTTTAAAAGAGTAATAAGAAAAAAAATATGAGACATTTCAGGCGAACTCTACATGGGGTCGCGACCCCAAGATTAAAGAAACTCCTCCTCTGATCTTCTTCTTTTTTTTTTTTTTGCAGACCGGGGGGAGCCAACCACAACGTCAATGTTAAAGCCGAGCCAATCTCCCCACCTCGTGACCACCTCGGTCAGTCCGTGTACATGGGCCACGCCCACACCACCGCTGCTCATCCTCACTCCACCGGTTCTTCATCAGCTCGAGCGGAGACGGGCAGGTCCCCCGCAGACAGTGTAAGCTCCTCGTGCAGCTCTCATGATGTCGGCAGTGACCGGGAGGAGCATCAGCAGCGGCCGGACTTCCACTCGCACCACATGAGCCGGTCAGAGGGCGGTCAAAGTCCTACGGTCAAACGAATGCGAATGGACAGCTGGGTGACATAGAGCACTGACCCCCGGAGGCCGAACGACATCAGGGCAAAAACAGGAAGGACACTGTTATGCAAATGAAATTATTTTATTGTTCTGTTGTTTGTTTGTTTTTTTTTCTTAAGTTATCTTATTTTTTCTGTCGTTTTGTAAAAGAAGGATGAAGCTACATTGGTCAGGAAATTGTGAAGAAAACATCCCTCGATGTTCAAAAATCAATGTTTCGGTACAACATCTCTTCATATACACACTCAACAAACACACCTACATTCACTCCTGTTTTTCTTACTGTTTTAGGGACATGTTCAGATTTTATTTTTGTTGTGTTGTTTTATGAAGTACCGATGAAAAGTAATTCTTTCGGGCACAGGAACCAGCTTAAAACTTCCAACGTTCCATCTCAGTGAGAAGTTATCAGATTTTTAATGGATTCTACCACAACTGTTAACACACGACTGGTTCGGTGAATAACCCCACTTAAAAAGACATGAACGATCACTGTGTTGCTGTAATGGGTGACAGTTAAATGTAACATTTCAGCCAACAGTGTTTTCACACCGAAGGTGACCAATCAGCTCCACCCAACTCTTAGATTTCCACTGTATCGCTAACTGTTTGGTTTTCTTGCAAATTTTCTGCACTGTGCACAAGAAATCCTTTTTTTTTTGTAATTTACATCATTTCTGAAGGAGGTGAGGAAAGCACAAGAGCAACAAGGCACCACTGAAGTGCACATCACAGCTGAAGAGTGGCTGCTAACAGGAAGAAGCACAGAAGAAAATATCCACAGATCGATTGCACTAAAATTTGGGTTATTTTAATTAAAAAAAAAAGAAAATTACACCTGACTGTTGACCATCAGTGTGAATGTTTAACACACATCAGACTTAGTTTTCCAAAAAAATAAAATAAAAAGTGTAACTTCCATTTTAGATTATTACAATACGTCTGCTGCAGCTTTACATCAAAGTGTAACATGTTTCTGTGTGCACAGAAAAATAATATTTCACAAATTTGTTTTTTTAAACCAAGGGCCACACAGTAGTAAAGTGATAGGCACACTTGCCTTACACCAAAAAGATCACCAGTCTGATCCTCGCTGGAAACCTCCAACTGTCCAAAATCTCTGCTGTGTATGTGGCCCAGTAATGGACTGGTGAACTGTCCAGGGCGGGACCCCACCCCCAACGTACCCCCGTGACCCTGGAAATGATAACGTGGTTTAACATATAAACATAAAACTAAATCGTACATTTTTCCTTCAGTAAATGAAAAAAAAGGATCAATAATGTCCCTTTTATCATATTTACGTTTTATCTGTGCAGTTTTATGCTTCACTGACTGTAGGTCCAATTGCAGTACAATCTTTCTGTTGTTGTTGTTGTTCAGATGAATGCAGTAGACCATCATGTGGGCCAGAATATGTTCACAAACTCAACACATGGATCCCAAAGTTTGTTTGTTTTACTAAAAAAAAGGTCAGAATGTTGAGAGAAAAGAAAAAAGAAAAAAGGTTATAGCATTATTTTAGTCCGATCTGTCACTTTATAATTGTACAAAAAAAAAATTGATAAACTTCATCTGAAATACAAAATGCTGACTTTTGAATTAGGGTCAAATCAAGGTCAAGTTCGTTAGTTCAATCTTACTTTTCTTGTAAAAAGAAGAGAATTCTGTTCATTAATCTTTTCAAAACGTTCTTTTAGATTTTAACAAGCCAAAATTTGAAAAATAAAAAATTAAAATCCTTCTGTTTGATCCTTCTGTGTCAGTGCAGCTGACACAAGACCTTCACGTTGTCTCTCAGTTCATGAGGTGCTCAATGATTTTTTTTTTTTTTCCCCCCACCGGCTGTAACCTAATACGATTCTGATCTTCTCAGGGTTTGAAAGCAATACTCCCTCTGCACCATCATTTGAATCCTTCTTTTCTACCTTTGTTTTTTTAAAATTGTTTTTACAAAAACATATTTATGTTAGCCATAGCAGTATGCTGTTTCACGTCGTTTGTGAGTGTGTTTTTAAATTGTGCACAAAATGAGACAAAATTTCATTAGGACTTTAAACTGAAAGCCATGGACAGTTGTTTGTTCTTTATCACATCTGTTTTTATTGTTCTGTAAATAGCATCTTTAATATATATATACATATATATATATGTATCACTTTTTTGGCGTACTATACATGCATAACCTGTTTTTTGTATTTGCCTGGTTGACAGAAACACACCTCCACCCCAGTTTTGCAAAAGCTATATTTTTGTGGAGGATTGCCACGTTCACATGACATTGTCCTTTACCTGCTTCTTTTGGGATGATTCTGTTTTTATGTGAACTAAGCCATGAAAAAAACACTCTCCTTGAAGGAAATTTTTCAGTGATATTCAATGAAAGCCAAACGCTGTTTAGAAATGTATTGAATGAATTCCAAACGTTCAACAGAGGCGAAACAGACTGATATTGTTTAATTTATTTCAGAAGAAAAAAAAATGCTGTACGTGTCAAGTTAACTAGACAAATAAAGACCCAACGACTTTACTGATGCACAATGACGGATTCAAATAATGCAGCATGACAATATGTGATGTACAACGGTGCCTTTGTGTTTATGCATGTATTGTGTATTAGACCCTAACAAAATTTATTTTCGAAGTATTTTTCAAATCCCTTTAAAAACTGTAGGGATTTTAAAAAACCCAAAACTTTATTTTTTACATTTTGCTATGAAAGAGGTGGTCACAAAATTTTGAAAAAAAAAATGACAATGTCAGATGGATTTGAATCAGGAACTCACAATATTAATATTGAACCATTGAAAAAATGTAACTCTATAAACCTTTGGGATTTAGAAAGTAAAATTTACAGTATCTGCTGGATATAGATGGCGTTCGAGAACTTTTCAAAGGAGTGAAAAACCTTCAGAGATGTGTCTAAATCTGTACTGCAATGACACCAATCAGTGACATAGTCCGGTGTGAAACTGAAATGAAAAGGAAGACGGTAAAAAAAAAACCTGCACAGGAAGTGTTGCTAGACAAGAAAACCTCCTGAGACCCAACCCAATGAAATGTTATGATTTTGTCAGATTTTTGTCACTCAGGATTGTGCAAATATAGGAAACTACTTCAGACCAGTGAAGGAACCACTTAATTTTTATGACTATCAAAGTCAAAAAATGGCATCAATTGAATAACAGTAAAAAAAAATCCCAGTCCGTGAGTGAGAAGGTTGCAGAGGAGTGCAGATCTAGACGCAGGTTCAACCACAGTGGTTTCACTGGTGTCAGAGAATCAACAGTGAGTTTGGAAATAGAAACAAACAAGAGTTGGAGGAGAATTCTCACGGGGCCTCAGTGTAACAACTATAAAGGAAATACAGCTGCAATGTGGGGTATGAAGAAATATATCTTGGTAAATAATACCAAAGAAGAATAGAAGATATCTGGAAGGCATGTTTTCAGAGGCTGTGGTGTAAAATTTTGCTTAAAGATAAAAAAAACATAAAAATATGGATATGATTATTTAACAGCAGATTCTGTAGAAGGAAGGACTGAAGTCAGCGGACAAATTAGATGGTGTTGGTTAACCACAGATCACATTAGATGTCCTATTATGTGGTAGAGATGTGAAGGAAGATATGCGTCACTAGCCTAGAGGTGGGACTAAGTCAAACGCAGTTCACTTCAGTAAAATGAAGGGAGTTTGGGTGTGTGTAACACAGTCTGAGTCTTAGAGGGGGAAAAAAATCAACTGCCATATGAACACTCATCTGTGACAGATGACAGTTTAGTATGACTGGTTGGGAAAGAACAAAACGTCATGGGATTACCTCACTATGACAAGTCACAGATGTAAAAAAAAGAAAGAAAAAAAAAGTGCATCTGTGTTGTTTGATGCCATGTCAACTTGCAACTTAAACATAAAATTACACACAATTTATGTAACAGCGATTCTGATTTATTTGACAGAAACAGAACAGGAAGTAGAGTCTGTTGTTAAAGCCAACATCCATGAGGATCATACACAAATAAAGATTTAAATAGAGGCTTTTTTTACTGTATGAAAAATAACTATGATAATAATGTAATGGGGAGCTACAGTGTCAACAATACTGGTTGTAAGAGCTTATTCCTTTAATAAACAGAGTTTCGAGTACATGTTATGTTATAAGTTACCTTAGTTGACATAATTTAGCGTTTTAAACACGAATTAAAACATTTTTAACCCTTTTTGTTTGAAGAGACTCTCTTCAGTTCCTGTCTACTACCGGAAGTACTTTTATTTTGAAAATCATCAACCTCATCAAGTTTAATAGCGGACGCCGGATCAAAGGAGGAAGTGAAATCAAGACAAGTTTTACGGGACACCATTGCCCACCGTGTTTGAGCAACCATGAGGTGACTCCTCCAGGAATCCGAAACACTGGATGTTTGAGCGGAAATGCGAAAAGGGACAGAAGGGGTAAGTTTTTATACATGTTTTGTGTAAAAGTAAACGCCTGTTTACCTGTGAGGGTCTCTAAAGAGGTTGGTCAGTGTGCTCAGGTGTCTTCCCCGACAGCAAACAGTAGTAAATGTTTCCCTGTAGCAAACAGGTGAAAACTTGCAACTATTTGACTTTTTTTTGTACATCTAATGTCTATACCGTGTTTCTTCTGCCCCAGTCTGGGCAACTGTGGTTAAACTCTCTTCCCACATCTTCAGTAAAAGTAAAGTTAAGTTAAGTCAACGGACGAGTAAAAGACTGGTACCTGTCCACAGACAGGTATGTGTCGCTGCCGATTTCTTTGTATTTAATTTGAAAAACTCTGGCGTAGATTCAAACCGACAAAAGTTGCGTAACGACTCATTATAATTACCTAGTCTTTTCGTCGGATATTTTTTTGTTTTGTTTGTTTGTTTCCTCTGTGACGATACATTTGAATCGGCTGCTGTTTATCTGCTGCCCCTGTAGGCCGCTCCTCACTTACTACGACATTAGGGGTTTAGAATGGTTAAAGTTGTTATTTATCCACATTCTCCCTTTTAAAGACCTTAAAGACAAATATATAAGTGTGTGTTTTTTGTCTATAGATATTTAAGTTTAATTAAATAATGAAATAAAGTGAACTGAAACAGAAAGAGATTAAAGGCCATCATCCAAGTCTGTATCCAAAAAAAAAAAAACAAAAACCCAAAAATGTCATGAAATGTAAATTTATAAAAGCTAGAAGAGGGTTTTAATGTAATCCAGAAATGGCCAGGTGATAATGTTGATAACAGAACTGACTCTGTCAACATAGAGTAGCTCTGTCTGTGCCACACAATGAATACCAGTGCACATACACATCTACAAAAACACTGCATGGGAAAACTGTTCTGACTTGTTTAAACAGTTTTGTGCCAACTCTTATTAACATATTGACTTCCCAGGCAGAGCCACAGCACAATCGATGACTGTAGATAAACCGCAGCACTTCTGATTGGTCACTGCAGGTTTTGCACTCCGAACCCATTTGTGAGATTGTTTCTCACAAATGCAATTTAGTATTTTTATAATTTTGATAATTTTTGTATTATATTTTGCTATATTTTGATCTGGTTTCTATTTTTCAATCTATGGAACTCCTGTACCTTTGCTGCAACACAACAATTTTACAAAGTGCAATCTAATCTAATCTAACTGGTTGTAGCTACTGTGCCTCACAGGCTACGGTCTTAATGACTGTCCTTTAAACACTGTTGGCTTGTAATAGAATGAACTAAATTAACCCTTTTGAACTGACTTAAAAAAATAATTGGTTCAAATGTCACCTTTTTTTTTCAGTGACTCAAATGTTTTTAGGCATCGCAACTACCTGACCCTGACTTTTCTATATGTTCAGTCACTATGAAAGTAAAAACAAAAACTAAGTTTTGCTTACATGTGTCTTGTGCATTTTATTTCCCCTTTCATTATTATTTGTTCGACTATTCTTTTGCCAACATCAACGTTTTCTTATCATTCTTCCTACCATAATGAAACTCTTCAATCCAATGTTGGAATACTAAAGTGGATATGAAACCCTGACGGCTTTATCAGTGCGTGACCAAGCAGATTCTACAAGAAGGATGTTGTGAAAGAAATCAATACAGTTTTCTGGCCATTTATATATGTTTCAACATGAGAACCGGTGGTGGCGCCGATAGGATTTCTGTCTGTCATATTTGAAGATGGAAGTCTCTGCGTCAGTATAAACTCGGCTGAGTCCTGTCAGACAGGTCATGAAATCACAGTCTATTAGATGAACAGTGTTGGTGACCTGATTTAGGAGCAGAGGTATTCGAAGGATCTACTTTCATATGTATGTTTTCACGACTGCTTCATCCAATACAGAATATTTATGCCATCGCTGTTTTTTTTTTTTTTTTCAAACTTTAGTCAGAAAAATAGGATTGGAAGAAAAAGTCAAATTCACCATTGAAATTTGGTTTTTAACCTTGACTCTCTATATAACCCAGACAATAATGGCCTCTTAGGGGAACAATGGTTCTTTTAATAGTAACACACAGAAAGGCAATCTTTCCCCTCATATTGGTTTTCACCAGAATCAGCGTTCTTTATATGCAGTGAACTGTATGTACTGTATGTGCAGCTGCTACGAAACAGCATTCAAAAAATTACAACATGGACATGACAGGGTTCTTTCAGTAGATCGTATCTGTTTTTTAATGAAACTTTCAACACGTTTCTAATCAGTTAAAGCGATTTAAATTATTTTTTTAAAGTTTCTAATCAGTTAAAGCGATTTAAATGTTTGTTTTTTTTGCACCTGTGCTTGCATACAACCCAATTTCAATTATCAAGTTCAAGTAAAGTTGTACTACACACACTGTAAAATGTAGTATTCAAAAATATTTAGCTCTAGCTCTACTCTCAATAATGAACCCAGTTAATGTCATTAAAATATTTCCTCAATATTTAGCCTCTTACCTGAGTTTATTACTGATTGTCAAATAGCGTAATTAATACATCATTTGTCAAAACTGTAGAAATATTCCCGTCCTATTCTGGGTTGTGAATTTTATTGGGTCCAGTCGGAGTTAATAATTGATGTGAAGGTCTTTGTTTACAGACTGGGGATGCAGTAGGAAGCCAAGGTCCACCCAGTCATCACCGCCCTGACCCATAATGTTACTGTCGGGTTGAACCAAATGCTTTTGAGGATGACTAAAAAGAAGTCATGCTCAAAAAAAAAAAAAAAATAGTAAAAGTAAATAAAACAATAATTCCACTGGGTTCCTGTTGTCCTAATACAGATATGAGTTCTATAATAATCCGACAATGATTTAACTAAGTGTGTAACACGAGTAGTGAACTGAGATGAGATGAAACTGGACGTTTACATTTACAGTAAAACATTATTTCATTATCATTTTCTGCAAATGCATTCAAACCAGGCTAATGTACAATAAGTCCAAGTCAATATACAATATTGTGTTCAACAAGGTTCTACTAAACATTTACATCTATGGAGCAACAAGGTGGCTGCTCACATGACTGTTAGCTAATAGACTATTTGTACATCA